AAAAATACCATTTACACCTCAAATCATGGATAATAGAATCATTACTTTCTTATTTTTACCCCTTTGGTTTTAACTTTTACCTCAAATCTAGAAGGGTTAAATTTTTCCGGCTCCGGATAAATTTCAGGACTGTGGTGAATGTACCTGAAGAGTGGCATCACTTTCCATCCTTTTGGGATACGATATCCTGGTAAATTTTTAAATTCAGAAGCAATTAATTAGTTCTATATTGTTCATGATATTGAGTCTGAAAATATAAAATTGAACCTACCCTCATACTCCACATCTTCAACAGCTTCCCTGAATGTAAAAGACAAGACTGAAGCAATTCTGAGTGTCTCCTGAATAACTCTTACTGTAGCTGGCATATTCCTCGTGTCTGCCCAACTTAGACCTTTCCCCTCATTCGCCTTCTTTATTCCCTCTTGCTCTTCCTGTAAATAAATAAAAATCAAATACATAAATATATAAACATTTCTGTAGACTCTAGTATTTCATTCTCAAGGAATAGCAAAGGATTTCGATTCTTAATTTCTTACAGTGACAGATTTAAGAACATCTGGATTCTCAACGAGATGCTTGAGAACCCATGTGAGGACACTAGCTGTTGTATCACGAGAAGCGAAAATCACGCCTATAACATTATCCACAATCTGCTCGTCCGTCAAACCTTCAGAATCCTGCATTAGTGAGCCCAGCAAGTCATTATTATGACTCTGCTTCATCTGCCTCCTCAACATCATCATATGGGCCAGTATTCGGGCCAGATTCTTTCGGGCCTTCATGGCCCCGTAAAAGAGTGTGCCCGGAATATTAATGGCCAGCGAGTTGTACCCCTTCTCGAGCTCATAGTAACACCGCTTGAGATCCTCTCTACAAACCACTTCTTCCTTTCCGAATATGGAAAGCAGCGCCACATCGAACGCGTACTGCATGGAAAAATATTACAAAAAAAAAAAAAAGAGTTTAAAAACTAATTTTTTTTAAGTATATAAAGAAAGGCAAAATTGCATTTTTTGTCCTGTTGGTTTAACGCCATAGCATTTTTAGCCCCAAGATTTTAACTTTTTGTCTTTTGATCCTGTAATTTAAAGGACTGAAATTGCGTTGAATTTTAAAATTATAGGACCAAATAGCAAAATGTTCAATTCTTAGGGCTAAAAACGCCGCAGGATCAAACCAACATGACTAAAATTGCAATTTTGCCTATAAAGAAATGAAAAACAGGGGAAATCCAAATCGGGAATCGAGACGTACGGTTTTGAGTTCCGGGAATGCGGTGATGACTCTGCCTTGGCACGAGGTTAGGGTCCGAACGGCTATGGACTCGATTTCCGGGATTATGGTTTTGATGGACTCGGGCATGAAGGCCCGAAGGACGAGCTTTCTGAGCTTGGCGTGGTAATCACCCTGGTGAAAGAAAATGGCCTGTCGGCCCAAGATTCTCTCTTTGCTGATTGGGAATGTGGGCTTGAAGATGTGGGCCTTGGAGACTAGGACCATCTTGGCAGCCTCTGGGCTTGCGATCATCACGCACTTGCACCAGAGTATGCGAGTCTTGAATATGCGGCCGTACCTGGATTTGTTCAAAATTTTCAAAGCAAAGATCAAATATTAATACTATAGTTACTTTTAATGAATAAGAAAAAGGCGAGAGCTTTACTTCTTGACTTTGTCGGAGAAGAAAGTGTTGGGGTTCATGGAGTAGAACTGAAAGGTTTCACCAAGGAAAGGGAAGCCCAGGGGGCCCGGAGGTAGTGGGAGATTGGCCCGGCCCGAGAAAAACTTGTTGAGGACAAATAGAATGAGAAGAAAGGTTGAGGAGGCCAACAAGAAGCATTGTGAAATGAGATCCATGATGTTTTTTTAATTGGGTTAAAAATCAGTATTCTTGAGCTTTTGCTGGTGTGTGTTTTTGAAGGTGTGAGTAGATGAAGTGAAGTTGGAGGGGTATTTATAAGGGGGATTTTTACAAGTACAAGTTGAGTCCCAGCACACGGAATCTTAACCCCTTCAGCTCATTTAGTTGTGAGGGGAGTTAAGAGAGGGATTATTCATTTATTTATTTGTGTTTTTGATTTTTTGNGACTCTTATTATGAAAATCTTATTATCTTCTTATGAAAAATTATATTCTGAAAATCTTATTCTTAAAATCTTATTGTGAAAATATTATTAAATATTATTTATATTTTAAACAGTAGATAATAACATTATTATTGAGCCAAGAACATGGATTTTTGGACCTTTTTCTTTGATTTCATATATTTAGACACCCAATTTTCTCAAAAAAAAAAAAGGCTTATTTTTATTGAGTATAAGCATGGAATAAATTTGCTCTCATCCCAAAATCCGGAAATTGAACTAAAATGTGAACTTTCAGTGCCAACCCATACTAATTTTCCGACAAAGAAAATTTGCCAAACATGCTTCCAAAGCTCGGATAAGAGCTCCAAATTCCCTATGTGATTTTCTTGTGATTTCTTTGTTAATTTTAAGTGCCTTTTAAATTTTTCCTTCTTTTAAGGTTACTATTCTTTTTGAACTATAAAGCGCCTTCTAAGAAGGTTAAATGGAGATTTTTTGCTGTGTTGACGAAGTCGGGAAAGGAGAGGGTGAATTTATTCCAAAAATCAGAAACGATTGAAAAGAATCAAGTCGGAGACTAGAGCTAGAGCTACGGGTCGGAGATTTTAGTGATAGGTTGATTAAATAACTCGCCCAGAACGTTTTTTAAAAGCTTGGGCTGCTACGAAAAACACCATCCAATTTCAAAGTCACACGATCTAATTCAAGAATAATACACCCTCTCTTACCTCTCCTTTTCGGCTTCATCAACATAGCATAAAATCTCCATTTAAACCTTATTAGAAAGCGCTTTGTAGTTCAAAAAGTACGGTAACTTTGAAAGAAGGAAAAGACGCTTTTAAAGGGCACTTAAAATTAACAAAGAAATCACGTAGGCAATTTGGAGCTCTTATCCGAGCTTTGAAGGTCTGTTTGGCAAATTTTCTATGTCAGAAAATTAGTATGGGGTGGCACCGAAAGAAGTTCACATTTTAGTTTGATTTTGGGATGAGGGAAAATTTATTCCATGTTTATACCCAGTAAAAATAAGCCTTTTTTTTTTTTTAGAAAATTGGGTGTCCAAATATATGAAACCAAAGAAAAAGGTCCAAAAATCCATGTACTTGGCTCAATAATAATGTTATTATGTGCAGTTTAAAATATAAATATTATTTAATAAGATTTTCAGAATATGATTTTCATCATAAGATTTTAGTATAACATATAACTACTAAAGAATATGTTATACTAAAGTCTTTGCATACAACTACTAAAGATTTTCATAATATGTTATGGCGAAATTGTATGTTTACCATATGATTTTAAAATAATTGTAATCCTACCATGGTAGTACATTTATTGCATCTTTACCAATTAGATGTAATTAAATTGTGTATATGCAAAGATATCAGTTACCAAATAAGAAGTGAAACTACTCCTTCAATTGCGGATGTTAGTTGGATTTCCGATTTAAATTATAAACAAATAAAAATAGTAAGTTTATGTACCCTATAAATTAGTTCAATATAAAATAGGAAGATACTAAATTTAAAATTCAAACGATATTTATTTTGTGAATTATTTTGTACAGTGTATCGATTATTTTCCGTATATTAACCGTATATGTTATGTATACAGACTAGATTACAAATTTATTTTTTTGCTCAACCAAAATTCAGTTCTTGTTTTATAAACCGTAACTATGTATATAAACCATATATATATATACAACATAAAAAATTCAATTTATGCTTGTTTTAAATCAGTTTTTGAAAATTTTTACTTTTATGTTTTATGAACAGTTTTACTAAAAAATAAACCATACATATACACAACAAATCCATAAAAAAAACACATAATTAAAATTATATATATATGTAGTTTATAAACAGATTATAACCCGTTACTTATTGCAAAAAAATATCAAAATAAATGTATACTATAAAGAATTAAATATTCAATTTAGTATGGATGAATGTTAAAGAACATCATCATCAATAAATTATGAATAAACATCAAATAAACATAGAAACAGATCATATCGAATGTATCTGCAAAATCTTCTAATATACAAAATATAAAATGTCTATAAACTGAAAATATATTGTCTATATACTCAACATACACTGCCTATATCGCAACATATATTTTCGACATCTCCGCGAGCCCGAGCTTCGGGCCCCGCCTTCGTCATCTCCATCTTGACCTCCCCCGTTGGGAAGGGGGGAGGGGATGGACGCGCAGTCACCGAAGTCCGTCGTTTTCTTTTGAAAAAGCAACCGCATGGATCGAAAAAAGTGGCTCATAGTTTCGCCGCCGCCGTAGACGAACAAGCCTCCCACACGAAGATTGCACAACGGCCAGTCGGATGTTTGGAACATATCTGGTAGCCACCATGTGTGGTTAAAGAAAAAAAATAAAAAATTCTATGAGCAATAACTTGGATAGCCACCATGTCTGGTTTAAAAATAAAAATAAAAAATAAAAAAACTTCCATGAACAATAACTTGGATACCATATATGAGGAGAACTCGATCTCTGATTTCCAATGAGGAGAACTCGATCTTTGATTTCCGATGCGGAGAACTTGATTTTCGATTTCGTGGGCGGTTAATGAGGTGGGAGAGAAATCTCTTACCATATGCTCGGGGGTGATTTTTTGGTAACAGATAAGTTTCTTTAATTAATGAATAAATTATTTCTTAATTGATGGATACGGTTTTACTATGAAGCTAACAGTTGGCTCCATAGTGGAGCCAACTTTCTATATACAACAAGTAAACCTACCATATTCTCTGATTACTTAAATAACACTTAGGTTTACTTGTTGTATATAGAAAGTTGGCTTCATAGCAAAACTGTTGATGGATAAGTTTTGTGGTATATCTGCAAATAAAACCTTAATTTACAGTTATATTGCTTTTTTTACATAAGATGTTTAATTGCAGGGGCAGATTTATGTGCAGCATAGGGGGGGCCATTGTCCCCCCCAAAGTTTCAATATTTTAATATATATATATATATATATATATATATAATTTATTCTTTTTTACCATGTAGAATATATACTTTATATATTATAAGCATATAGAATTTATGTATGTACTCCATAATTATTACTAGTTATTAATATAATTTTATATTAAGAATTTTTAACTGTACTATATTTTTGTAAGTAATTTTGCACTCTTTAAATATAATATTTGTATTTTTCTTTTTATAATATAGTAATTAATTAGTGTATAAATATGTGAAATGGTGAAAATAAATAATTTTAAATAGAAATTTGAAAAGGAAAAGAATTATTTGTATAAAGTCAATTGTCAGTGAGTCTCGTGATTTAAAATAATGTGGAACACAATTTTAAAATTTCAAAGGTCAACAGTTATGTATATTGCGGAATATTTTTTAATTTATGCTATCGAACTTAGAATGCAACTTTATGCATTATATGCATATAAAATGTGATATTATTAAATATTTTATATTCTTTGTAGAAGTGTTATTGGAGTAAAGTTGAATACCTCATGATCAAGTTCGTGTTTGTTTAATAAATATGTTGGATTGGCTTGACTCATTAAATAAACGGAAAAAAAAAATGTGAGCCTAAGCACGATTCATTTAATAAGCAATGATTTGTTGTTTGTGTTTTCACGGGTCAATTCGAGTTATATTTGCATAATTTGTTTCAAATGACAATGCTAGTTCTCTCCAAAAAGATTTTTTGGATCCGCCCCTGTTTATTTATTTATTTTTACGATAGAGATGTTCATTCCAAACTAACAAAACGATACAATGTTTATTTACAATCAAAACACAAATGCGCCTAATCAAGTGAGAGACTTGCTTACACTAGCAGTCTAAATAGCCAAATCAATACCCTGCCAACAACACTCTAAAAGGTCAAAGGCAACCTGTACAGGTTGATCCCTCCCACCCTCACAAGCATTAAGCCAATCAAAACAAAACAAGTAGATAGAATATATAGAAATACCAGATAAACACTCAACTCTACAAATGCCAATTAAACAGAAAAAATAACCACTGACTCGAGACCTAGAAATCTTCTCCGCTCAATTGCATTCTTCTCAACTTTTGGCTTCCGTGAATTCCATCCAATCTGTCACTGCATTTTTAATAATCAAATGCTCCGGTTTCCAAATCTTTTCAAAAATCCACAAATTCCTAACTTTCCATAACCACCACAAAATATATTGGATGCGGTCTATCGAAGACTCCTTAAAATCTATGGAACAAACCCACCCCCACCATTCCTTGAATATGGTTGCAAAGATTTTAAAAATATATTATTATTATTGTATTTTATTTTTATAATTATTGTATATTTTATGTACAAAAATAAAAACTAATTTTTACAATAATTGAAAAAAAAATAAAAATACGGACGTCGAGACAACGCTTAGGTGTAACC